CTTCCCAGCCTGGCCACACTGCCTCGTTTCATCTCCGCCCAAAGACAATAAACACAACGTGAAGCGAAGACAAGCAGCAGCTCGGCCGTGCACACCGGGTTTGACTGCACAGAGACCTGACATGAGTCTAAGGGCTTGTTTTACTCACAGGTGAACAGAGGCAGGTGTCTGTTGTTTGATTGGGGGGAAGAGGGAGAAAGCAAGACGATGGAGGACGAGGACAGAAAGAAACTGAACAATAATAAATCCTCAGACATGTGAGCGTTCCAAACAATGACTCATGTGGATGTTTTATGCTCGGCTGCAGGTTCAGGTTGTATTCAGAGAAAGTTCATAAAGAAACGGATTGAAAGTAGCAGGTAGAACATGAAACACCATCTTTGTGTGCCCAGCCAGTTAAAACCACCAAGACGTAACACGGTAACTTTTCCACCAGGACAGTTCTTATTCACGCGGCAATAGTTTACTATCAAATAAACCTAATTCTGCGTTTGACAGTTTTTGGCCAGCAGGGGGCAGGAATCCATAAACTCAACACTAACATATTGTCACCTTTATTTCCTAAGGTGAACATTTACTTCTTAAGTACAGAACAAGCAGACGCAGAGCACAAGGTTTAATTTGAAATCTCCTGAGAAACTTATTTTTTTTGTTAGCTGCAAATCTTTTGCATGTTTTGGTGTCGAGCAGGTAACAGTGATGTACGGTCGATCTGTAACCTTCAGTCCGGTGAGGTCAGGTTTCCAGTATATATTGCTGAGGGTGAGGGGGCTTTGCTATATATACACTAGTTGCAATACAGCAATAAATCTCACATCCATAACAAGTTCACATATGTCTGCATATGAGTCGATACAACAGAGTTTAACATTATCTTACAGGTGACTGGATGGGAGACGACTAAATCAGTGGATGTGGGAGCTGAACAGGAAGTGAGGTAGTGGAGGATGGAGCGAGCAGCTTTGTGGTTATCAGCTCAACGCCACTGCGTTTCCTCGCACATCATTTCCTCCAGGATCTCTTCTGCCTTTCCTTTTTTTTTTTAGATTTTCCCATGAAACATGCTCCCTCACACACATTATGTTGTTTGGTTCAACTATGTAGAATCTACCTGTGTATGAAATGTGCTTTGTAAATAAAACCGCCTCATCTCTTCGAAGACGTTATATGAACACAGACGAAAAAGGAAACAGAATAAAACAGAAAC